TCACAAAAATATTTCAGGTACAATTTTACAGTACTGAGAGATCCCATGGAACACAATGCCCCAGTCAGTTTTATGCTGGTAAATATTTAATAATTGCCTCTCCAAAGGGAAAATAAAATGTACATGACACACTTTTAAGTTTAATCTGAATTACTAACATTTTCTTCACCATTTTGTTAAATCTTGACAATCAACAAAACAGTAAATCAAACCTTAATTTGTAGCATTTGCTAATTTCCTTCACAGTGAAAATTTAATAGGTGACTCTCTTGGGTCATTATGAGCTAGTTCCAGAATATTCCTGGTCTTATCTCTTCCTTCTGTTTAAGCCTGGGGTTTGGGGATACTCCTTTTATTACCTCTGGATAAATACATTTCCGCTACCTCCATCTCCATCTTCATGAGATAATAATTTATGGTGCTCTCTAGCTTTCCCAGCATCTTAGAAATATGAATTTAAACCAGAACATGGTTTTTAAAAATAGGAAACAAATGTTTTCTTAAACTAAACCACCAAGAAGAGAAAATATGAACTCTCAGCATACTAAAAAATTCCTTGTTACATCTAGGGCCAAATTAGGCCAAATAAAAAATCCCATGAAGTGATTGCATATATTCACATTCACACTATTTGAAGCTATAATTATATAAAATATAGTAATTGATTCCAGCCCAGTGGAAATACTGTTAGAATTCAAATAATATGATCGTTTCACTGTATTCATTATTTGCACTAGTCAGTACTTAGTTACATTACTTTCTCTCCACCAATCAATCAAATGAGAAAACTCCAGCCTTTTCTCATTTATCCAAAAACTCATGGTGTTTATTTTTAAAACATTATTTGCCACTGCACATGACATACACCTTATCATCCAGATCCCAAAGTGGGGAAAACCAAACAAAAGGCCTAAAACAGTAAGGAGACTCAAACTTTCAGCTACCTTTAAACTTTCTTATCCTCACCCTCTTCTTCTTTCCCCATCTCTTTGACTTCATTCTGAATCATTTCCAGACACTATTAATTTCTAATCATCTCCACTAAATCAACATGTCTAACCTGTCTTCTGCAAAAATGCTCTGTCTACTGTGGTTTTCTTTCTCTTATCCTCTGATTTCCTGGGTCTACACCGCTCACTTGGCATGTAGTGTATGCTACATTTCTGTTATTTACCTGTGTAGTCATATCTTCTATCTCTCCCACTGTATCGTAAGCACCAAGCAGATAAGGATTATACATCTTCCCTTGTGCCTAACATTGGGTCTTGGACATAGCAGGAACTCAAAAAGTATTCATTTCTGTAGTTGATGATTATAATGAGGATGATAGTGATAATAATGAAAGCATACTTTCTACCCTTCCTGGCCATTTAAATACATTTCAGTAGTTCTCTCTGGCTATTTTCACATTACATTTAAACAAACTGTGAATAAGTCACAAATTCAGCCCAAGAGATGATTTGCCAGGATGGGAATGATTTCTCTATGTCCAAAGTTTTAACAAATTCAATCTTTCTTTGTAAATTCAGTCTAGATTGGTTGGAAGTAAGGAACAAAGCTAAATGCAAAGTTAAGGGGTCATTTATGCCCTTTGGGAGGTCTTCTTCTGCCTCAGGTCTTAGAGCACCCTGGGAGTCATTATTATGAATATCAATTATCATCCCCTCAGGGTCCTGCTCAGTCTATCTTAACACAGTAACTAATTAATTTGATAAACTAATATATGCTGTGTTAATGAGGACTGCAAATGTTTGTCCTGGTTATATTAGAGTATGTGGTGAAAGTTTCCTTAACTGTAAAATGAGAGGGTTGACCTAGATGGAAGACTAGTCCCTTTCAGATAAAGATCTATGATCCTATGTTCTAAGTTTTCTATTTTTAAAAAATGACACCTAGTACTTTGCAGTTACAGGTTGCCTTTCATCTTTTTCAAAACATTTCCACATCTATCCTCTCCTCCTCTCTTCACCACCAGGAGGTATATCATTGATCTATTTGGGAGCCAAAAGAGACATATGTGTTACTCAAATTCTATCAAAACAATGTTAGTATTAGCTCCCATCTTAGATTACGAGACATTTTAAACATCATAGGTCTTTACAGAGTTCTTACTCCATGAAAAGTTTTGATTAGGATTGATATCTCCTGAGGTAATTCAACTTTGTCTTTTTAAGTTTCACCAATCAGTATTCTACCAAGATAAGGTAGTTCTTTACAGATAATATCAAGACAAAAATGGAGCCTCCGAGATGCAACAATTCAATGCAAAGCATATTATATACTAGGTGCTAATCTTGTTTATGAAATGTCTCTGCAGATTCACAGTAAAAGATAGAGGAGAATGAGAGAATAGAAGTTCCTTATTGATACAAATTTTGCTAAATAAAAATTTTGGCCTCTCCAAGGGAACATGGGTAGCTTACCATTTAAAAATAAAAAAGAAAATAGTGTTCCCAGTGGCAGTTCTGATCACTGGAAAAATCCCTAAAAAGTGACACAAATATGTAAAAAGAAGAAGGACTTTTAGGAAACTCCAACCTAGTTCCATGATGGTGAGTGGAAATGGGCTCAACCAACAGTAATGAACAGGACAACCATACCCATCAATGTGGATTCAGTTCCAGGCCAGGTGAGCTCCCAATCAAGGAAAATCAAGAAGACAAAGAAGTCTTAATCTGTCCATTACTCCCATCAGAAGTTCTACACTTCTCTAGGACTTATTAAGGAATTAATTCTGCCAATACCACTCCCTAGATTAATTTATTCCCCCACAGTTCCTCATCCCCTTATAGAGGCTAAATTCCTTTGGCTATGTGACTCCAGAAATGTATTTGTCTTACCTGCCTCTCACTACAGAAGTTTCAGGTCGAAATTAATTGTGGCCCCAAAAAATTATTCAGGTAGGTCTCATAGGATTCCTAATTTTTTTTCAGGATGTAGGGAGTTGTCAAACTAATAATTCTGGCCAGCTATAACGTTGCTGTAATGAAATTGGATTTTTAGTTCAGGAGCACTTTATACCATGGTTTGTATTTCTAGTACTACTTTCTAAAAAATTAAACAGATCAGAAATGACTATTTATTGATATCACCCCCAAGATATATGGATATTCATCTCCTTATCCCTCCTGACAAGTTTATCCTTAATATAACCTTGAAGTAGTCATTTTTTCCTCTGTGAGACTTGCCTTTTGTCTGTATCCTTTCCAAGCAATCAGCGACTCCATGCTACACCTCTGCCCAATGATCACCTACCCATCATGCTCTCCTGTCCACCACCACCTATCAAAAAACCTATTTGTCCTACATTCCATTTCTTCAGGACCCTGATCCCTTCTTTCTAAGATGATAATTAATTCCATTAACAAACTAACCCAAACTACGTTAATAAGTGTTGATGTTATTAGGTGAAAACTATTGTCTCTACCCTCCCTTCTGCAGCATGGTATAAGGGAAATAGTACTGGATTTGGAGTTGATGTGGGTTCAAATCTTGGTTCTCCTATTTGTGTGATATTTGGCAAGTCACTTAACTTCTCTGGGCCTCCGTTTCCTTTTCTATAAAATGAGGAGGTTGGGCTAAATGACATGTAATGTCCCTTCCAGCTCTAAGACTAAGATATTGTAAAGGTATGTGTTTCAAATAGCTAGATTTTTGGCTTTGTCTTTGGTGTCTAACCTGAAAAGGGCCACTTCAGACTTACAAGAAAGATAGAATTGTTGCTTTATTTTTTAGTCACCCCAGTTGATAAAGTACTTAAATGACAATAGCAGAAAGCCAGCAGAGGACTAATGGGAAATATATATAAATATTTTTAACAGACAGGGCCATTAGTAGTATTTTGTAGGTGTCTCCCCTGTGTCATTTCCCCCCCCACACACACACACACACTCTGCCTACATGGAGGAAGAACCATCCTCCTGTATCTCAAGGAAAAAAAATAAACCTTTCCCCCCTCATAAACTCTCCATCCTCTTTTCTTCATACACATATGTTTCTCTGTTTTCCAGTAATAATTACTTCTACCAGCAGAATTTTCTGTAAATAAAACATGTGTTGTCTTTGGCAGGGTTCAATTAAATGATGACTTCTCATCAGTGATAGGGAAGGGAGTCAACATTCCTTCCTCTTGTCTTATGCTTTTCTACCATTTTATCCCGTTCAATTGTCTCCCTACCTCATCTTGCTTTAGGGTATGAGACTATTAGAGCCCGAATATTATTATACCTCAAATCCCCTAAGAAGTCAAAAGAACAATGATTTGGAATTGCAATGCCTGACTACTCCTTTCCCTGTCAAGTTTAAACACCAAACTCAAAACTTGAAAGATAAATGAATATTTAATTGAAAAGTTATTTTCACTTGAAGATTACCTACCTTTTTCTTGGTGTTGCTTGTTGTAAACATACATGCAGCATTGGTCTCACTTAAAGCAGTCTTTCTCTAGTCATTGAGAAATTGCTAAAAGAAAGGAGAAATGTTAGGAATTAATCCCAATTAAATTTGACACTTTTTGCTGTTGTTGGAAAAGGGTAGTGAGCTTGCTAAGAGAGTGGCGGCATTCTCAGGAGTACAAAGCTCACAAAATCCTCTCCCTTCTCTATTTTAGACTGAGAACATCAGAGGAGAGGGTTACTAAAGTCATTATCCTTGTCTTAAGTGTGCATAATAACTAAATAAATAAATGGGCATTTGCATCATAGGAATTTGAACTCTTCCCAACTCCTGAAAGGTATACAACTGCAAATGCTTCCATTTCATCTATTCTGCTAAGAACTCTCTTCAATCATGGTATGAATGTCTGACTATTCTATCCTGCTTGCAACAGATGCTCCTTCCATGCCAGTCAAAACATTTGTCCTCATGTGCTTCATCACTTCCCATATCTGTCCTGCCATTCAGCCATCTTTTACTCATGCTTCATTTGATCCAAGCATGTGATGTGCAATGACTCTACTACTGTATACTTTTGTGTATACATTTCTGTTCTTCCTTGAAAGACTGTGAATGCTTCGGCCACTCCAAACGGTGCAGTTATATCGAGCTGCTCAATACAGTCATTTGCGTGAGCTGTAAACACAACACTAGAGGGCAGCACTGTGAGTTATGCAGGCTGGGCTACTTCAGAAATGCTTCTGCACAGCTGGACGATGAAAATGTATGCATAGGTCAGTTTCATTATCATTCTGGCTTTTGTTCGGACCTTTTTGAGCTGTTGGGACCTGCTTATCAGAGCCTAGTGATCTGCAACGCAACTGTTGTTGGATAGTCAAGATAGAATGAGCTCTTTCTGTGGATGCAAGTATCTCCGAAGTAGATTTCAAACTCACACAGTTGAAATCGGAGTTTGGGAGATGTGCTTTAACTGTTTTAATGACTACCCAGAAGACCATGATTGAAAGTGGTAAAGAGTTCATTCTCTTCTTCTCTCCTGTAAATCTTAGAACTCTGTGATAATTTTTTGTACTTTTTCATATGATTCCTTCTAAATTTAGTTTCAGATATGAAAACAGATAGTCATTCTAGTGAATGTTTGCTATGATAGGTCTAATGCATTTGGGAACCAATTCTGCCTTGTATATAATTGATCATTAATAAATATACACGGCTTAAAATTTAGGTTTCTGGAATTAGAACTCATTAAAAGTTTGCCTGTGGTTTATCGATCTATGATGGCAAACAAAATTTCATTTGTTGGGTTTTGTTATAAAACATGAATGTGGGTTCTGGATTCTCAGCACTGTGACAGAAGCAAAAAATTATTCTCTTTCCCTCAATGGCCAGAGAACAAGTGCAGCAGGGCTGGGAACTTGGGTACCTCATGCCCACCAATTCAACATTAATTGCATGGACTTTACAGAACCTGGTAGCAGTGAGTCCTCCAAACCCAATTCAATCACCAACCCTACCAGCAGTATCATCACTACTATCTTGCTCGCTACTCTGCTCAGATCTCACTGTTACTGTTCATATTTTCTTAGGGGAATTAAGGTCTTCTTTCATAGTAGATATCAATGTTAAAGAGTACCAATATTTCAAAGATACATGATTTTAGTAGTATGCATGGCTACGCTCCTCTGTTTTTACACCAGTGAGGACTTTTGTGAATTACTGTGGCAAGAAAAAAAAATCTCCAGGTGGCAAATCTTCTGAAACCTGTATGAACTTCGATAAGTCACTAAAACATTTCTGGACCCCTTCATGTGTTTCTTGTTAAGTGAGCTGGTTCAGATGTTTGCTAATGGCCTTTATGTCTTTTAATCTAATAGCCTATGATCTTACTAACTTAACCTACACTAAAACTTTGAAAAGAGGCACATTCCATCTGTGGGTAGGCTCATTCTCAAAACCTTTACAGGTAAATCTAAAAGTCATCTCCACACCATGATGTGATATTGGGATGGAAAAAATGGATCTCAAAAACTAAATTCCATTTTAAACTTCAATTTCTAGAAATTCATCTATTCTATACATGAAATAGATAGTTACAGTATATAATATAGAATAACTGTTTTATAAACATCCATTCTAGTTCATAGATTTATATATCCAATGGATCATTATGTAAGATATAATGAAGAGTAATAGGAATATTTTCTAAGTCAAACCTAAATTGGAAGAACACATTCAGAACCTTAAACACATAGACAGTACAAACCTACATGTATACTTTTGGAACTACAAAATGGACCATATCATTATGAAAATATATATCACAATAAAAACATCATCATAAAACACCATGTAACATTAATGAAATTTATAGCCCAATAACACAAGGTAGTTACAGAAAGACACATACGTGCTCACACACACACAAACACACACACAAAAGGACAAGAATTGATAGCACCTGGGAAACAGGTCAACAATCTAGAGCAGGGGTGGGAAACCTGTGGCCTCAAGGCCACATGTGGCCCTCTAGGTCACATGTAGCCCTCTAGGTCTTCAAGTATGGCCCTTTGACTGAATCCAAACTTCGCAGAACAAATCCCCTTAATAAAAGGATCTGTTCCATAAAACTTGAACGCAGTCAAAAGGCTTCTCTCAAGGACCCAGAAGGCCACATGTGGCCTTGAGGATGCCAGTTCCCTAGCCCTGAGTCCTAGAGAAATACTTTGGGAAAAGGCAGGTATCACTTTAATGAACAAGAGTAAAGACTGGTGGTAAGCACATGCTATTTATTGGTTTTGTCAAATATAAATGAAAGTGGCTTATCACCAGACAGATCCTAGGAAGTGACTAAGATACAGGAGTGAGATCAAAAGCCCCTCCAAGAAAAACATTCACATGAAGTCAGCCGACAATATGTTGAAAAAGAAGTTCTGAAAGAAAATGATTGATTCATATAGGTTTTGTTATAGAAACACAGTATTATTGTCTCCGTTGTATGGATGAGAAAACATTTTGAAAGGTTTTTACAAAGGGGTTGTTTTAATACATTTTACACAAGCTGAAAAATGAAAGATGATCCCTTTCCTAAAAAAAATCATCAATCCATATTGTCATGGCCACCATAGTCCTTCTGGATTGTGTGAGTCATTTAGGAATGGCATTATGGTGAGGAAAACACAACCCCGGATGTAATATCAGGAGACCTACCTAAGTTCTAATTCCAGTTCTGCCATTTGGGTAATATCGGGCTCATCACTTCATCTCACTTGTCTTAAATTTCTGCATCTGTAATCACCAGTCCTTCAATGGACTAATTCAACCCAATTAATTAAGCATTTATTAAGCATTTACTATGTAACAGGCACTGTAGATATAAAGACAGTAAGTTTCTGTTTTCAAACATCATATACTCCATTGACTAAATGACTTATAAAGTCCTCTTCTAGCTCTAATAGTCAATTCTATTTAAAACCATGAATATAAAATGTATAGTTTACTTTAAATTAATTAGGCCAAAGACATATAGTCTTCACTAAAGTCCTCCAAACACATCTCATCATTATGTGGAGACTGCCCTGGAACCTCAAAGCCTATTCAGTAGATCAGAAGCTCTGACAAATCCTATGGAGCTACAATGATTTCCAGTGATTTACAAATCCAGTGATTTCAAACTGATTTACCAGTGTGAAGAGTTTCATCCTCAAATGGTTGGTTACAAGTTAATGTTATTTTTTTTTTTTTGCCACAACTCATGAATATCATCTACTCATGTAGAGATATTGTGAACTTCATCGGTAGTAGGAGCTGGAAAGCGTGAGAAGCTCATTGAAATCAGGGATTTCTTGAAATATTAAAGAAGTATATGAATATTTCTACATTACTTTTCTCTGTAATTTCTCACAACAATGTTGTGATCTTCTACTTTTCCCATTTTAAAGACATGAAAGTTAAGGCTCAGTGTAATTAAGTGATTATTTTTTTTCCCCAAAAAGCATATTCAGCTTAAGAAGCACGTCTCCAGAGCTCTTTCCCTTATGCCTCAGGGACATAAACTATGAGATTGAGTTTCTCAGACATTTTTAGTATATTTTTTATAAAAGGTGACTGTGCATTATGTGATTTTGAACAGAATCAACTCTACTTAGAATGCTTGAAATTGCTAGAAATTGGCAAAAGTATAGTCTTTATTAAAACCAAAAGGCACAGAGCCCTTCTCCAGCCTTATCTCCCAGATTTGATTTGTATTAAGTCTCATCTAACATAAATGTAAATGCCATAGTCAAAAGATATCTTCCTTTCAGGACAGAGAAAGTCAACAAAACAGGAAATTAAAAACAGGAAAATTAAAAAGCTTTAAACCTCTTCACATTAATTTCATAAGTTTCTAGATAAACAAAGGGAAAAAATGAGTAGCTTATGGTGGATTTTATTCTAAATGAACTCGATGTCAATTGTCAAGTGATTTAATCTAGTTTTACTCAATCTATTTTATTATGTGGTTTAGACCTCACCCCAAACTTGCAGATGAATCACATAATACCCCTCTGCATGACTACCTAAGCCAAAGCTCTATCACTATTGGAAAAGCTCACTTAATTACCCTGAGATTAAAAATCAGCTGATGTATGTGTGTGTGTGTGTGTGTGTGTGTGTGTGTGTGTATGTGTGTGTGTGTGTGTGTTTAAGCACCCCTACTGCTGATGACAATATGGAAAGCTTAATATGTCTTTTCCACTGGTATTTGCTAAAGAAAATTACAGTGTTCAAGAGCAAGTTGTTTTCAACATTTGCAAAAGAAGTTTGTTTAGCAAAATTCTGAACAACTGGGAAATCTTGTTTTATGGAGGCAGACAAGTTTCTGTTCTTAGTCTGACACTATTCAAATCAACTATAGCTCTTGGTAAGTATTAAGAGTGATATTTTAGGTACGATTGAAATTTAGCAACGATGCTATTACTCTGCCCCCAATTTTGTTTAAAATACTGATTTTTTTAAAAAAAAGGTTGACATATTCTAAACAAAAATTGTATAGCTCCAATGTGACCCTGACTAGATCATCTCTTCTTGGAACCAATGCACTGAAATAGAGCTTGTTTGAATATTTTCCATCTGTATCTAAAATATCTCTATCTACAGACTATTGCATAGCAAGTAGCCATAGAACCTTCTAAATAAAGGTTCGCTCAGAAGCTACATGAGTTCTAATTGACTCCAGTAGCTCATCAGAAAAGAATAATGACCTAAGGGGAGACTTGTGCACTGCCAGCGTTTCCCATATTTATGATCTAAGCTCCAATTAAGGTTGGAGAGCCTATGAGAATGGGTTTGCCTTAGTGAAGATAGCCCAATTGGGTCTAAGTATGTTTGCATGCAAGTGATTGAGAGTTGAATTTAATTTTACCTTAGAAAGAAAGAGCTGATGAAAATGTATGGGAATTCATCCAATTCACTGTTATAAAATTAGACATTTAGAAAAGAATCAATTGGCTTGAAATTTTGAGTCCCAACTAACTCCTTGCCTTTTTAACATTTAAACAAAAATCCATCACTTTACCAATTAGAACTTCTGCTATGTGCTGTCCATCAACAGCAATTTTTTTTTTGTCAACCTCTCACCTCAATTGTCACATGGTCATGTGTATCCACAAGATGAAACCAAGGCGTTGGTGAAATATACATAGGAAACTGCAAGTATTATTTTTATAATATTTTATAATATGAAAAATATAAGATGCTTAAAAGTATCCCATACGCACAGTGTACTGTACTTAGTAACTGCTTCATAATCACTGATATTTCTCATTTTCATACATGTTCCAAACATGACTATCATAGCTTCAAAGAGGCATGTAATTCCTCTGTGGTGACACAGTAATTACATGAAAATGGCATAGTCACACATTTCTCAGACACATATACCATCCAGTTAAACTGGCACCAAGAGCTACATGGTCCATGTGGTTGAGAAGGTCTTGCTAATACTGTGATCTAGACATCAGGCAAGTGACTGGGTGATCATTGCTGATATGCTAAGTATATCTCAAAGTGACGAGTATACCATCAGCAATTGAATTTGCCCCAAAATCCCAAAATCAGACTATTCAAAATCTCAAAGTAACTTGTATCAAGTAAAGAACTATTTGTCATGACAAAATATTGTCATGAGGATTGTTGACATTTATATAGCACTTTAGGGATGGCAAAGCACTTTGAAAACATTTTAAAGTAAGCTAAATAAATAATTCTGATTTCCACAGATGAGCGAGAGGCAGAAACGTAGCATCGTGGCTAGAATTCTGGCCTATAAGTCATATAGACCATCTCTGACACCTACTAGCTTTATGGTAACAGGAAACCCCTAAAACTTCCTGAATCTCAGTTTCATCGTCTTTTAAAATGGAGGGGGTGTGTGTGTGATAATCATAGCAACTGTCCCTTCTTCACTTATCTGTTGTGAAGATCAGGTGTATGAAAGGTGCTTTGCAGACTATAATGTGTTATTTTTATAAATGAGAGGAATTACAAGGCAGTTTTAACAACAATCAAATATATGTTTCATTTCTCCTTCCTAGATTTATAGATGAGAAATAGCCCTGTCTTCTTTCCCTAGTAGACTGTGCTATATGAATTTTGGATTAAATATTTTTAGTGATAAACAAATTCTTAATATTTAAAGCAGACATTACACTGAACCTTGATTCATAAGTTATTTCTAAGAATTTCTGAGTAACATCCAAATTACCAACTTTTTCTGTGATGCCCACTGAGAGGCCTTCTGCTGCTCAAATGTTCCACAGTGGGTGGGGGTGGGGGTGGGAGGGAAGGTTGGCATCCAGGACTTTACAGTCATTAATTACTGTTGTTAGTTAATTGATTGGATTATTATTATGGAACCATGTTTTCCAGGGGTAACTATGCTTCTTGAACATACAGAATGTTAATAATATTACCTGTAATTTATAGATTATAATTAACAGGAAACAGATGATCAGTTTGTTCCTGGGCATGTAAAATGCCAATGATTTATTTTAAAAAATGTTTAAGTTTACATTTTGAAATAAATCCAGTGCTCAGGAGTGAAATAATTATAAGGGTCAGATATAAACTGAAAGGAGGAACTTCAAGATAAGAGTCTTACCTTCCAATCTTTCTCATCTCTTTCTTTCTTGTCATAATTCCCAGACCTATTTCCATTACAGGAACTCAGGGTTTACCTATCAATATCTTGTGTTGATTTGAATGAATATTCTTTAAATATATTATTATCTAAAGAATTCTAATTAATCATAAGCCAGCCATAATTATAATAGTAAGGAAAATAAGTTACAGAGAGCACAAAGAATTTACCCAGGGTTACACAGAGGTGGGGCTAGGATTTAAGCCACTTATGCCTAATGTGGCAAACTATCTTCTAATTGACTTTACCTAAGAGCCTAGGAAACCTAGGTAATCACCAATCATCTTTCTAATCTTAAACAAGTCTGACTTCCCAAAGTAATAAGAATACATCTCATCAATGAGTGCCTAAGTGTGTGAAAAATATAAAATTTCATTTTCTCTTTTACATGCTCACTGTAGCCATATAAAAAGAGTCATAAGAAAAAAATATGATCTTTAAATTATAACATATTGAAATTGATTTGAGTTTGGGAAATGTACTTCTTTACTAAGACTGTTACTTTGGGATCAATAAAAGCTATGCCAAGTCACCTAATAAATGCAACACATAAACTCATAATTTTAATGACAAATACTTTAATTAAGGACAGTTTGAAATGCAAAAATGAGACAATCACTGTAATAGGCACCAGTAAAGTACATTTGCAAGATATTCAGTAAGACTTCAAGTGTTAAGTATTACAGATAAACCTATTTGAATAATTTAAAACAGATTTTCCACTGATGGCATAGAGATGTATCCTTGATATACAAACCCCCTATAATGTTCATTAGTCTAAGTGAAAAAATATCCTTTAAAATGGAATCTCCATTATCATGGGTTAGAGTCAAAGTACATTATGCCTTCTGCCCTCTAGAGTTTTCAGTTGACTTCCTCCTCTCTCATAAAACAGCATTAAAGAAAGCTGAACAAATAACTAAATGGAGGTAAAACAGTCAGATTACCAAAGCATTTCATTAGTGGGCAGGATCTCTTTAAGTAATAGGATGGAAATGCTCCCCTTGCTTGTAATTTATGAGCTATATGGACCTGTCTCCAGCATGTATGTTGTCTTGTTTCTACAGAGTGTTTTTGTAACCCTTTGGGCTCAATCCATGACCGTTGTAATGGCACAGGATTTTGTGAGTGTAAGACGGGAACAACAGGGCGTAAATGTGATGAGTGTCTGCCAGGAAATTCCTGGCACTACGGCTGTCAACGTAAGTAATTCTGGAAGCTGACCTTTGCCTCTTGAAGCTTGGCTATTTCTGCATGTCTCTGCTGGGATATGCAGCTACTTGGAGCAGGAAAAAAGCCAACATGCTAACGAGCTTTAAAAGCCACCTACTGACCCAATCTATGGATGGGAAGAGAATCAATCAATGGCATGGCTGGTTCGTTTAGCTCTTTTTTTTTAAAGTCCTATACCTTTCCCCTCTGATGCCTAAAGGAGCTCATACTAAATCTAGACGTGTGTCTGTGTGTGTGTGTGTGTGTGTGTGTGTGTGTGTGTGTGTGTGGCCAGATGAATTATGTGGCATAGGAGGGACCCAACTGAAATGTTCACCACAAGATAAAAGGTGTTGTGGATGTGGTTAATATATTTCTTGAACTGAATGCACCCCTTAGCATCCCATGAAAGTGAAGTCAATAAATTAAATGAAACCTGAATAATATATTGCTGCACTTATATTGCTATCATTACCAAGTCTTAACCAAACATCAAAATGCAATGAGTCTAAAGAATAGCTTGATGCTTTGTTTAAAATAAATGGCAAAAATCAATATTAGCTCTAAAACTTTTGAAGATAGGTTCCATACAAGAAACCTTAGATAGAGATGTTATTTGGTTTAGTATCATCTCTTTGTAGATTTGGGGACTATTTAAAAACTTCCCTGTGAAGCAGTATGTTATGGTATTCAGGCTAAAGACATTAACAAAATGCTTGAGTAAGTTTCTTTCTGTCTCTTAAAATCTCTTTCACTTTTTAATTTTATGCTAAATTTTCAACAAATCAGAATAGCCTTTGAGGCTACAATAATTTTCAGAACTTTAAACCCCACAGGACAGGCACAACCTTCATACATGCATTTTTAAACATTTTATAAATTATCTTAAGTTAATTGTTGCCAGATTCTTTGATCCTACCCATAACAGTTATAGTGACTTGAAATTTGTGCTTCTCTACAATGTGGAACAAAAGTGAAATCTCTTGTTATGAAAAGCAGAAACCATGTTGGGACCATGGATACCAGTGAATTAGTTATGGAAGTCAGGATCTGGAGAGTCAAGGTAAAGATAAGAAAAAAAGGCAAGGATAGGTCTGAGAAAGGGACAGATTCAGGGAATGCCTAGAAGCCAGTAGTCTGGATTGAAGATCAGAAGCCAGGAAAAAGAATAGAAGTCAGAAAGTATGCAGGTATGAGAAATCAAGGTGAAACACTGAGTTAGAAATTCAGTCAACTGAGTAAAGGAACTCAAATAGCCAGGTTATCTGGGCAAGACAGTAGTTTACAAAACAAATAAACATTCCTCAAGTGTTAAAGAACATAAATATATTAGAGGCAAGAATCAATAGGTTAACAACCTGGTAAAAAGCTGGAAATCTGGAGCTATAGACCTAGAGGGCATCAAGGAAATGTAGTAGTTTGGGCAGGTTATTAAGTAACAAGTGAGGGACAAAAAACATACAGGACCTTAACAATGAAATAACTTTGACTTCAGATAAAAAGTCTTTAATAGAATGCCTGATTCAATGGGAACCAATGACTGGATTCATAGCAAATCCAGGACTTGGAGGTGAGAACAAATCAGTCAGTTATTAACCAAACTGTAGAAAGGATTGTGGGGTCAGAAAAAAATGATATATCTTGACTTTTGTTTATTGTTTAAACAAAATATATGTCTCTTCTAATTCCTCACTTTTCTTTCTTTTTCACCTGGACTTAAATTTTCTTTTTCACAATGTTTAGTCCTTAACTCCTTGTGCAGATTGAGAGATTTCCTCAGCCTTTATTATTAGTAATCAAAACCTAGAGTTTAGATATTTCCCTAGTACATTTAACCCAAAGAATATTAGGCCTTTTAATCATCCTTCCATATAAAACTTGTAGTGCTGGAGATGGCATCTTTTAGATGTTTTTTTACATGGGCCTTAAAACTTGTATTCATTAAAATAAAGCCTTGGTTCTCTCTGAAAGATTATCAATGAACAAACATTTATTATTAAGTGTCTCCTCTGTCTGGGGTGCTATATCAAGTGCCAGGGATATATAGGTAAACATAATTTCATAGGATTTAGAGCTATGAACAGCACCTGCCCTCAAGGACCTTACAGTCTACTTAGGTGATAAACACATACACAAATAAATATCAAATAGATGCAAAATAAGATGAATGTAAGGAACAATAATGTACTAATAACTGGAGTGATCAGGGAGGTCCCCATATAGAAGACAACACCTGAGGTATGCTTTGATGGAAGCTAGTGATTCTAAGTGGCAGAAGTGTGGATGTAGTGTATTCCAGATATTTAAGACCATGTTGTTTAATTACATTTTATTTTTTAATTAACAATTACTAATTTTCTTTTCCTTCTCCCCCCTGCCTTCCAAAAGAAAAACCCATATAGCAAATATTAATAATCAAGCAAAACAGGACAGATTCTCTCATTGCTAATGTCCAAAATTGTATGTCTCATTCTGTATATTGAATCCAACAACTCTCTGTCAAGAGGAGGGCAGCATTATGTAGGAACACTTTACAAAAGTCTGGAGGTAGAAGATGAAATGCTGTGTACAGGCAAGAACTGGCCAGCCAGTTTCACCAGAACAGCCTAATTAAACTGCATTGTGTCTATTAGCCTATGGGAACTCTTCTTGTAATTTCCATTTATCAGCAGTCACTGCCTCTTGTCATTACACATCATCATCATGTTTCATTAAAATGCCCATTTAGCATCTCTCCAGTGTATAAGATGTGTCTATTTCATCATCAGGTTGCATTTGGTGTTTAGACTTTACTGGAATGATTTGGCAATTATTACATATATTGATGGTATGGCATGATTTGGTACTCAAACTCGCAAGTCTTCCATGTCAATATATGGACTCTACTGTCCTGATAATCCAAAAGAAAAGTCTTAGGTTGACCTATGCTGATAACATTAATGATACCACCTGACCCTGGTTTTTTTTAAAATGTGGGTAAATTTCCTTATCAGCCACTTGGTTTAATGCCTTTCATTATTTGCCTTGTATAGACTCAGCTCAAGGCAGCTTCTATGAAGGAATTTTGAAAATATGGTTTAAAATATATACTATATAAATGTGTGTACATATTTACATATGCATATGTAAATATATACCTACATGTATATGCATGGATGTACATGTACATATACATACATATACATATGTGTGTGTACATATTCAGCATTGTGTTGCTTTGTACATCTCCTAAAGGAATTCCTTCCAAGGGCCTTTTAAGCAGAGCTTGTAAAAGATCACCAGGGGCAAGAGAAGAATGCCAGTGGTGGTTAAAAAGAAAAATATTATCAAGGCTAATGCTGAAAATCATCAGTCTTGCAAGCCTTCTATTTTTGAAGCATATCAGACAATCCTTCAATGTGAACGAGAGAAAAGAGTCTCTATATAGTCAGCCAAAAGAATCATTCTCCCCAGACATTGAATTAGTTGAATCAAAAGGAAGATGATGCACCATTCTGTCTTAGTAACTGCTGGTGTTGTCTATTTTCTGGTTTTCATTCCTTTTCCCTCAATGGCATTTCCTTTTAATAGTTTGTTATGTTATTCATGATAATTTAAAAAAAAACACCCCAGTAGCACATTTGAGACCAGATTCCATCAATGAAAAGGATGATCAGTTTATACTCAGTTCATCAGTTTGTAACAGAAGACACCATAACATAGAAGAGGGAGGGCCAGCCTTGGAATTAGAGGAACGTTCACTCATGTCCTGCCTTTAATGTATGATGACTGCATGAGTCGAGACAAGTCACTTCTAAGAGCCCCAGGCAGCTCCCTCAGACTATATGTCAATCAATCAACAGAAATGTATCGAAGCTCTTCCTGTGTGCCAGGCACTATAGATAGGAAAATAAAACTGAACAGTCTTTGCCCTTAAGGGGTTAACATTCTATAGAGAGAAACAACAAGTACATATTAGAAAATACACACAAAATAAATACAAACTCTTTTTTTGGAGGGAAGGCAGTAACAGCTGGGAGAAATAATGAAAACTGTCATTTAAAAGATGGTGCTTGAGCTGATTCTTAAAGGAAATCAGGAATTCTAAGAAGTGGAGGTGAGGAGAGAATGCATTCCAGGTATGGAAACAGTCAGCACAAAGGCAAAGAGATGCAACATAGAGTGTTATGTATGAAGAATAGTAGGAATGCCTGTCAGAATGTCCATACAGTGGATGGGAAGGTGTAATGTGTAAAAAGGCTGGAAACATAGTTTCGGGCTGTTTTGAAGGGTTTAAAACAAATGGTCTTATTTTTGATCCTAAAGGTAATAGGGAGCCCCTAATTTTTTTTAATAGGAGGGTGACATCATTAGCCTGAACTTTTGGAAAATCATTTTTATTGCCTTGTTCATTGGTGGATGGAATTCTATACCAATGTTTTCCTCTACAAATGAAATCATACTCACAATTTGTTCATGCTACCAAAGACTTTGCTTGGAATTAGCAAAGTGGGTCACGTATTCAGTGATAACCAGGTGGTTTGAAAGATTTCAAATCTATATAATGAAGAGTATACATGCTCACTAAATTATAGTATCCTGTAACATATAAGACATTGAAAGATCATTCTTGAAATTTTCATCCTTTGGGCCATTGGTCTTCTCTACTCTCTGGATCCAAGGGGAAAGAAAAAAATCTAACACCTCTTCCACAGGATAGCCATTCAAATAGTTGACAGTTTCTCTTATGGTGTCCTCATCTCCTAATCCCCAACTTCATCTTCCCTGCTTCTCATATGGAATATCCACTAATTCATTTCTCATCCTAAACATTCTCTTTTAGGAATGTTCCAGCTTACATACATGTCTTTCCTAAAATGTGGTGCCCAGAAGGCAACCATCAGATAGAAAGGAAGGAGAAATGGAGCTATAGCACCTGGGTTTAAAATTCTAGCTCTTTCCCTTCCTAACCCTATGACTTTGGTTACATAAACAGCTGTACCTCTCTGGG